TATATATATATATATATATATATATATATATATATATATATATATATATATATATATATATACTTCCTCTTAGTTATTTTAGTTTTAGCTTGTGCAAACATTATTTTAGTTAATATGCCCAGATCATGGTTAGGATTAAGGACAAAAGAAAAAAAAAGCAGATATGGTACTTTGGGGGGTGGGTGTTGAAGACTGAGGAGTGTCTAGGCAGACACAAAACAGTTAGGACAAAATGGCATTACCTTAGTTATTTTTACCCTCACCTCCAGAAAAGAAGAGGCAGTTTAAAGCTGCCTTAGGTTGTATAAAAAAAAGTTGGATGTCTGTGTCTTAGTCAGGGTTTCTATTGCTGCAACAAAACACATGACCAAAAAGCAAGTTGGGAAGGAAAGGGTTTATTCAGCTTACATTTTCACATTGCTGGTCATCACCAAAGGAAGTCAGGGCAGGAACTCAAACAGGGCAGGAACCTGAAGGCAGGAGCTGTTGCAGAGGCAGGAACTGTTGCTAGTTCCTGGTTTGTTCAATACGGCTTGCTCAGCCTGCTTTCTTAGAGAACCAAGGATGACCAGTCCAGGGATGGCACCACCTAAAATGGGCTGGGCCCTCCCGCATTGAGAAAATACCTTACAGCTGGATCTCATGGAGGCACTCCTCAACTGAAACGCCTTCCTCTACGATGACTCTAGCTTGTGCCAAGTTGACATAAAACCAGGCAGTGCAATCTGCAAGAGTCCCTTGCAGAGAAGGGCTCGTTTGATGGGTGAAACGGGTTTTCCTTGTGCCACTTTTCATCTCATTTTAACGAGGCTCAGTATCTTCAAATGTTTATTGATAATTTGTGAAATTGTTTAAAAACCTAACCTCTACTATCTCCATATTCCTGACAAGGGGGTGGTAATAAGGCAAGTGTCTATTCTCCGGAAACTGTCAGTGTCACTGTGTTCTGGTTTTAACTATAAGAGCCAGAAGTCAGGGCAGTAGACTTTTCATTTTTGCAACAGTGTCTTGCTATCCCTAAATATAGGCAGGGTGGGCCGGGCCTGGGTTCTGGGAGAAGCCGGCGCAAGCCACCACTCCCCGCTTGCCTTTTCTTTTTTTTCTTAACACACATAGCACTGGACGCCTCTGGAAGGAGGAAGTAAGGCACACAGTGGCCATGGCATGCTACAAGGAATTCAAACGCGTCGCGTCGTCCTTCCGTTTCTCAGCGTGACACATCCGGAGTTTCCGTTAGTTGCTGTCCTTAAGAGCCCGGGCCTCAGCTCACATCAGCGAAGCCAGGCGGCAGGCACCTCACCAGACCTGGGTCCTCCAGTGTAGAGTAGAATGTAGACAGAGAGACAAACTGGAGCTAACGTCGTTAAAGGGACATTTTCTTGAAAGTGTCTCTGGGGTAGAGCTTTGGGACAAATTGGCAGTAACCGCTCCTAGGGACGCTGGTTTAACAGGTTTCTGTTAGAAACTGAAAAGTAAAAATTGCTCAGCTCCGAAGTGGCCAGTCCTCCCCGTTTTCACCCACGTTCCCACGTTCCCGGTGCCAGCTCCGCGGGCTCCGCCCCTTTTGCGCCTTGGCCACGCCCAGGAGCTCGACAGCCAATGGGCGAGGCCCTACGAGCTCGGGCACGCCCACCCCGGCGGCGGGCCTTGCCCCGCGCGTTGTCTGCTCTGCTGGCTCCCTCCGCTAGCGCGGCTGTGCTGCCAGGCCCGGATCTGCCATGGCGTCTCCTGCAGCGGGCGGGGTGGTGATCGTAGGCAGGTAAAGGTCTCGGCGGTGCCGTGCTGCAACGGCTGGCGCCCTGGCAGCGTCCGGAACGCGGGGCCTCGCGCGGGCTTCCGTGAGTGCCTCGGGTGGGCATCAGGCTGGACCTCGCTCCTCCAGGCGCTTCGTGCGCTCCGGAGCCGTGAGCAGAGCTGATGCGTGCCTTAAGTCGTTGCGGGTCACCGGGTCACCGGGAGGTTACCACCTAGTGGTGCAGACTGCTAGAGGTGCCTGGCGTCAAGTACTAACCGAATACCAGCGGTGGTCCTGGAAAAGTGTGCTCTAAAGTTTTTAAGAGACCTCACGTAGTTCAGGCTGGCCTCCGAGTCTCCAGGTAGCTGAGGCTATCCTTGAACTCCTGATCCTCCTGCTTCTACCTCCCAGTTACTGAGATTGCTGGTGTGTGCCACTATGCCCAGCTTGGAAACAGTGCCCTTCTTCTTATTAAGAATGCAGACAAGAGATTTACCCAAGATGATAGTTGGAGATTGGCCTGGGCTGCCAAGGAGTTTCGTTCATCTGTATCACTGGGCTAGGCTGGCAGAACCCTTGTCGGTCAGGACCAGGGCTTTCTTCACGTGTGTGTGTGTGTGTGTGTCTGTGTGTGTGTGTGTGTGTGTGTCACTTTAACAGCCGAAGTTCATCTGCACTGATTTCTGTTCTCATGCTTCTATCCATATGTAGCAGCACATAGCAGCTCATATCGGTTGGCAGCTATTAGAGGAGTGTCTTTGTGTGCCTGTTTATACTTTTGGCCACCTGTTGACCTGCCTGCAGACCAATCCCAAGCTCAGGGTTCTCCCCTTTAGAACCCTTTGGAGCAAGGTGTCAGAATGTCCGTGGCCATTTCCTCTCTCACAGAACTGTGGAATTTACTGTACCTTTGTCCTTTGGGGCGGGGGGTGCCAGTGGTTGAATGGTCAAGGAATAGCAAATTGTGCACTTTGCCCCCGTGGTGAATTGTGCTGCCTCGCCTTCTGTGAGAGCTGCAGGCGTTGGCCGATGCCTAGGTTTTTGCAGATCTGTCGGGAGTTAAGTAGCTCTCTGCCTGCACCTAACAGGTGCCAAGTGGGATTTGACTTGATTCTGCAGTTGTCTGGCTGTGGGTGGTTCACAGTCTCCCAAAAAGGAGCTACTCAGCAGTTGGTTATTTCTGAGCTCAAGGACAGGGAGCTAGAAGGGGCTAGGACCTGTGGCCATTGTGAAAGTTCTGTCTTTTGCTTACTCCCCTCCCCCATCCCCAACTTTCTTTCTCCTCTGCCTATCCAGTTATCAGTCAATCATCTACCTATCTATATTATAGCTATTACCCGTCTTCTACCATCTATCTCATGGGTGTTAACTTTTTTCTGACTTCTCTATCGTTCACCATCTCTGACTTTCAAGGCCCCACTGGTGACTCAAGGGAACACCCATTTAACAGATGGTGCCCAGAATGTAAATCAATTCCGTAAAACCTGGGTGAAGAGCTTGGCAAGGCTTCGCACCTGCACACCTGTAATCCTTGGGAGGTGGAAACATGAGGATCTCAAGTTCCAGGCCAACCTGGACAAGGATCTCAGACAAAAACAAGAACAACTTCGAAATAGACCTGCCTGGGTCTATTTACTGTAAATACATTAGAGAAGTTTAAAAGATACAGCGTGTCACAGCGTGAGTGGAGGTCAGGAGACAGCTTTGTGGAGTTGGTTTTCTCCACACCTTTAGGTGGGGTCTGGGCATGAAACTCAGATTAGGGTGCTGGGTCTGCATGGCCAGTGCCTCTACATCCCAGCCTCCTCCCGGCCTCCATTTACACGCGGTTCTGTGCTGGTAAACCTATTCTAGACCTGAGCTTGTTTAGGACAAACCTGTGGGGGGGGGGGAATTGTGGGTGCTCAGGGCAGGGCTGAGAAGTAGGCACTGTGCTGCCTGCTGCTGGACCTGCTTCTTCTCTTACCAGACATAGTGGTTAGCACTCAGCTCAGGGATGGTCTTCTCTAAGATAAATTTGGCTTCTGGAAACTTCCCTTGTGTGCTGATACTGTGTTGCCCACATTTTCATGTTAAGATGTCTGTAGACCCATTTCTTACTGAGATCCCCAAGCCCCACAGGTATGAAGCCTTGGAGGACGTTGTTTGATATTTGTCTTGGTAGAGTTTCTATTGCTGCACAAAACACCACAACTAAGACAGTTTGGGGAGGAAAGAGTTTATTCCGCTGACATTTCCAGGTGACAGTCCATCACAAAGGAAAGTCACTACAGGAACTCAAACAAGGCAGAAACCTGGAGGCAGGAGCTGATGCTGAGGCCATGGAGGGGTGCTGCTTACTGGCTTGCTCCCTATGGCTTGCTCAGCCTGCTTCTTATAGAACCCAGGACCACCAGCCCAGAGATGGCACCACCCGAAATGGGCTGAGCCCTCCCCCATCAATCACTAATTAAGAAAATGCCCTAGAGGTTTCCCTGCAGTTATGGAGGCATTTTCTCAATTAAGACTCCCTCCTCTCTGGCCACTCCAGCTTAGGCCAAGTTGATATAAAACTTGTTGATATAAAACAAGTTGATATAAAACAGAATTGTACTCTGGGGAAATTGTAATTTTATTATAATATTTTTATGAATTATCTGAGAATTTCATAAGATGTATTTTGATCATATTCACCTTCTATACCCACTTTCCCATTCCCTCCCAATGTTGTGTCTTTTTTTTTTTTTTTTTTAATTAAAAAAATTTTTATTTGTGCTGCCTAGAGGCCACACCTTTCTCCTTTCCCCGGAAGCCATCAACTGTCAATAGATCCTCAGTTAGGGGAGGGAGCTCTTAAGCTGTATTTTTTTAATGTGAGAAACTTTTTGAGACAGATATTTCCTTCAAGGTGCTGCCCTAAGTACTTCCCGAAAAGTCTCTCCGTTAGTTTTTCCGCACACAGAGAACCAACCCTAACTATACACACTAGTCGCCTTGAGTCAGCAACAGAGCTAATGGGCCCTTCCTTGGAAACATTTAGTAATGGCCAGCTTTATGTAGCTCACTTACATCAAGAAGTTAGCAGCAACTTTACTTCAGCTTGCTCTCATAAAAAGGTACCTGTAGACGGACGATTTTAGAAGTAGCAAGAGTCAGGCCTGTGATGCCTGTAATCCTAGCACCCAGGAGGCTGAGGCAGAAGGATTGCTGTAAATGTGAGGTCATCCATGGCTACATAGCAAGATAAGTCTTGAGAAAGAATAAACAATGAATAAATGGACCCAGAGTGGACTTATTCAAAGCTGGCTGGCGTTAATGACAGAACAACCAGAGGACCAACTTTGCTCCCGAACGCTTCCTTGATGCTTCACTGCTGTGTCCCGTGGTAGCTTTTGTGCTAGATTTGGGAAATTTGAAGCTTTGAAATGCATCAAAATGGGAAGGACCTTGTATTTTTTCTACTCTGGGCTCTTGTCATATGGATTTCAGGTGTCTTGAAGTCCAGATAAAGACGGAGAGTGGTAAAACTCTAAGGACAGGGAGCTAATTAGTTGTGTGGCACTGGGGATGGCAAAGCAGAGGGAACAGGCAGCAGAGGGACTCTGCAGCCGTGGTGTTGAGGTGACCATGATCATTGTGCTTCAGTTGCAGGCCACAGTGGGCGCCTGAATGTTCTAGCATCTGCATTAAAGAAATTGAAGAGGGCTGGAGGATTGGATGGCCCAGTGATTATGAGCACTGGATGCTCTTCCAGAAGGCCCGAGGTTCAATTTCCAGCACCCAAATGACAGCTCACAGCCAACCGCCTGTAACACTGCGTCTAGGGGGTCCCATGCTCTCTTCCGGCTTCCTCAGATACTTCACACTCCTGCTGCACATACACACAGAAAGACAAAACACCCACATACACAAAACATAATACTAAAAAATAAAGATGTACAGAAGATATTGTTAAGTGGGGCCATTGTAGCACACCCCCTTAATCCCAACACTCAGAAGGCTCCAGCAAAAAGTGAGACTGTGGCTTAAATAAAGTAAATTAAAGCAACAAAAGCAGTACGCGTTATATTGGAGATGCAGCTGAGTAACAGGTACAGCAATCGCCTGGTGTAGGGAGTGGGTGGGTCTTGGGTTTGTCCTGCAGCACTATCCAGCAGAGATATAAAGAAATAAGGTCAAATAGAACCAACCCCCATAAAAGCAGGAACTGGAAGCCATGATATAGAGACAGAAGACCTGGTGCAGACCCGTGCAGGCCCTGTTCATCCCTCAGTGTCTGTGAGTTCACATGAGCTTTAATCATGTTGATTTCTTGGTATCCTTCATCTCCTCTAGCTCTTACACCCTTTCTGGCCCTTCTTCTGCAAGGTTCTGCCTTGAGGGGAGAGATTTGATGGAAACATCCTGTCGAGGGCTGAGTGTCCTGAGGTCTCTAACTCTGTATGTCTGGCTGTGGGTCTCTGTATTTGTTTGTGTCTGCTGTGGGAGGAAACCAGAAGCCACCAAACTCTCACATATGGGATTCCGGTATTCAAACAAATGGGTCTGTGATTCTTGTGCCTTTTCGGGCTCTTTCCTTCTGTGTTGTTATAAATAAAAACAATGTATAAATAATAACAATTTATTATTAGCCCTATAATTATTATGGCAGTATTATTCAACCTTCTATCACAGTAAGACACAGACACCTGTTAGGTTTTATAATTGCCTTATTTACCTTGGGCTGGGCAGATATTTCCACCTATGCTATCTCAATAACCTCACCATCTGCCTCTCAGCCCCCATCTGATGCCATCCTCTTTAACCATCCTCATCTGGGCTGTCTTTCATCCATAATCTTATGAATATTTGCTTTTACTTTTCATCTGGGCCTTTCCACACCATTATTGGAGTCCTTCCTCCTGGCCAAGTGATTCCTTCTCCAAATTAACCCATCATGGCATCCTCCTTCCTCCTCTCTTCTTCTCAGTCTGTTTCCTGTGATTCTCCTGTCCTGAAAGCCGGGTAACTTTAGCCACACCTACCCCATTCTGCCCTGCCTAGGTTTTAGACCTTTTAATCAACTAATCAGGAATAATGTTTTAGGCAGGTTTACACAACAAGGACAGGTTTATTCAGGTCTTGAGGGCCAGTAATTAGCATCAAAATATAAGCATAAGACCAACCCCCAACACTTCTGTTTGTTTTGTCTACTTCTGAATTACTTTTTGTTTTCTCTTATTATAAAAAAGATTTTGGTGGCTTGTGAAGATACATCTCAAAGGGTTGCTAATGATCTTCAATTAGATCACAGGGCAGTTTCTGAGGTACTTTGGATACAATTACAGTTGAAAATCTAGAACTATAGGGCACAAGGGTTGTAGAAGAGAGCTAATACACACGATTACTGATTTGTGACATTCCCAGAAAATTATGTTTTACATGTGGGAGTAAGGTTGTATATGCTTAGGCCTTAAGCATGACTTTTTGCTGTTTTCACATTCTTTGTATAAAAGGAGTAAATTCTCTGGGCAAACAAGCTTCACAGTAAATGTCATTCATTACTGTGGGATTCCTGACTCAAGACTTAAGCCCATTCCCTTCCCACATCCCCCTGGTTTACCCATATTTATGCCATACTTCATATAGTGTAAATGCCATGTAAAAAAAAGTTGTTTATTTAGGGGGTAATGACGAGAAGTCAGCATGCTCAGGACAGATGTCTGACCTGTGGAGAGGTGTCTTTCCAACCTTGCTGTCCTATCTGATAGCCACTGTGACTTGTGACATGGAGTGCTTGAACTGTGTGCAGTTCTGCTCAACTGAACCTTAACATTTGCTTGACTGTAATCTAAATTTTAATAGCTACACATGGATAGAGTCTACCATATTGATCAATGCACATCCGGAGCTCTGTTTGATTAAAAATTTGTATGTATACAGTATAACACATCTTATAGTAATTATAGAAGATGTTGATTTTGTAGAACATAGAGTCAAATCTGCCACAGTTGAGAAGTGTCAAATATAGCTCACCCATCCTTTTAGTTCTGGAGAGGCTGGTTGTTATATCTAGACGCTCTTTTTGCCTTGCTCCTCTTCATCAGACTGTTCTTGACACCAGACCCCTAAGACTGTTTTTACCTTGATGTACATCCCTATTTATCCAGCTGAACCCAATGACTGAGTGCCAGTCTATTATGGGGTCCACTTAAATACAACATAGCTTGAATACCAAGTCAATGCAAATGATAAAAATTTATTGTAATCAAGCCACTACTGATTGACCAGGACCACAGAACAGACTCAGAAGCTGAACTGCAACCCAGAGCCAGAACATCACAGAATATTTAAGCTTGCAAAGCACAAACATCTGTGCCAAGTTATTGTCACATTTTTGCACCAATTAGCATTGGAGTTGGTTCCTGTGCCTGGAACATGAACTTGTTTGATCCTGCCAGAAAGATGGAGAAGGTGTCCTTGAGATGGCTGGACTCAGACAACTGTCTCCTTACAGCAGAAGCTGTTCAGCTATTGGGGAGTCCCCAGCTCCCCTAGGCTCTGGGACCTTGGATTTAGTCTGCTCCTCGCTTGATTAAGTCTGAAAACAAAATGGCAGTACTTAGACCAGTTTCTTTTGCTTGCTCCCAACAAGTTCAAATCTGAACCTGATCAATGGTTTTTGAATACAGATGGTGCTATCTTCTCCTTTGGTTGTTTGTCTGTCCATCTGTCTGTCTGTCTATCTATCTATCCATCCATGTATCTATTATTTATCTATCCATGCATCCATCTATATATCTATTATATATCTATCTGTTACTATCATCTATCTGTCTGTCTATGTATCATCTGTCCTATCATCTATATATCTGTTATCTATCTATATATTTATCATCTATATATCTATTGTCATCTATTTTTCTGTTATCCATCCATCATCTATATATCTATTATATATATATATATCTGTTACTATCATCTGTCTTTCCTATCTTCTGTATATCTACCATCTATCATCTATATATTTATCATCTACTACTTATTATCTATCATCTATTTTTCAATTATCTATCTATCTATCTATCTATCTATCTATCTATCTATCTATCTATCCATCCATCCATCCAGAGCAGCTGTTCATGCTACAGGGCATGTGCAGAGGTCAGAGAACCATTTTCAGCAGTCAATTCTCCTGCCACCTTGTGGGACCTAGGAGTGGGGCGTGCAGGCATGTGTGCCACTGCTTCTACTTGCTGACTCATCTCGCCAGCCCTGCACTTCCTCACTAGTGTTGGAACGTCCTCTTGGTTACATAACCAGACCAGCTAGGACCACAGAGTGAGACCCTATCTCAAAAAAGAAAAAAAAAAGTTGGACTGTCCCAAAGCCCTTTGACTTCTGCATCAGCCTTCACTTTTGTGGAGATCTCGTCAGTCTCGTTCTTAGAAATGTCCATACAGCAATGCCCACATTGGCATCTTAGGCCAGACCTTGACTCTGAACTCATTTCCCATCAGCTGTGTGCTAGATGCATACCTCTTTAATGTCTGCTGCCCACTTAAAAATACCCTGCATTGAATCCCGATTGCTTCCTGAGGTCTTCATCCGTAGGGTTAATGACATCCCGCTTTCTAGTTCTGGGAATATAATTTGACACCATCATTGATTCTTCCCGCCCACATCATATGGGCCCCCAGCAATTAGTTTGAAGATTAGCTTCTATCACCATGTCATGTAACAACAGCCTCTGTGCTCCTTACTCCCATGTTTGCCCAAGTACAGACATTTCTTGACTTGTGCTGGGGCCATGCTGATAAATCCATCTTCAGGGGAACCTATCAGGAGTGGAAAGTGTCCTAAATACGACCTTCCGTCTACACATCCCGGCTCCATGTCACAGCATGCTGTGAGCTGTCTAGTTTCCTTAGTGATCTCAGGGATGATGGGCGGCTGCAGCAGCTATGTGCAGCAACGTGAGGTAGGTGTGTGTGTGTGTGTGTGTGTGTGTGTGTGTGTGTGTGTGTGTGTCGCAGGATATTGCTGCAGAGCCCAGAATAGCTTTAAACTCAAAATCCTCTTGATAGCCTGGCATGCATTACTGTGTCCTGCTCCAGACAGCTCCTTTTAAACTCTTAAAACCAGTCTGTTCATGCCTGTAACCTAAAACCTTTCATTAGCTCCCCATCACATCCAGAAGAAAAGCCTAAATCCTGTGGTGGCTCCAAGGTATGTAATAAGATCATGCCCGTGCCCTCTGCTCTCTGCCCTCATCCTCTGCCACTCTTTCCTAACACCTCCATGCTAGCGGTGCCACCCTGTCCACCTGGACCTGCAAACACACTCCAGCTCTGCCAGACACCTTTAGGTTTGATCCCTCACCTCCTGCAACTCCCCCGTGAGAGAGTCCCTCGGTGGTGCGTTCAGATTTCTTCTGTCTCCCAGTTGAGACCATTTTCTGCTCAGGGTCCTTTTTCCTGCCACTTTGTCTTTCCCATCCCTTCCGTCAGTTGGTTGTCCTCCGCCCACTGTAAGCTCGATGGCTGGAGCCTGGCAAACTGCTGCTGCTCCTGTGTTAACCCCATGGGAAGCACTGCTGACCTTTGTCTAGAGTTTGTCACTAGTGAATGTCAGCTTTTTTTCTGTTGTCAACAACTAATACTAATACAAGCTCTATGATGTGCCAAGATGACAAAGGTTCCCAGAGCGCGGCGTTCATCCTGTCAAACAAGTGCAAAACAAAGTCACAGTGCCGATTAGCGCCTTTCCTCCTCTCCTGCACAAAACCAACTGACGTTTTACCTGCATGCTGCGATATGCCCCAGAAAGAGCTGGTTGCCATCGGTGACCCTCCCAGTCCTCGGGATTAAGATGGAGCAAGGCCCCGCTTGGACATGTCATTTGCTTCTAGGCACCATCCGCCACTCCCCTGCCTGTCTGCATGTGGAAAATGGTCCAACAATGGAGTTTGCCTGCAATCGGCCAGGGAAGGCTGTCTTGACACTTCTGTACATTTGAGCTCTGTATCTGGAGATTTAACCAAACATGAACTGAAAATAATTGACAAGAAGAGTGCCTGAGTTCATGTGTGTAAACTTTCCCTGTTGGTACCCTCAAAGCCAGCGGTTCTCAACCTATGGGTCTCAACCCCTTCAGTCTAAGACCATCAGAAAACATGGATATTTACATTGCATGGAACATGGCCACCTACTGGGACAGGGGCAGGAAGACCCAGGGACGAATCCCTCCCCAATGCAGAGAGCCACTTCATTTTGTTTTCTCTGTACCAGTGACTCTAGGTTGTGACTGTTTCTTAGGTTTTCCTTGTTCTTGATGACCTTAACAATTTTGAAGTTCATCAGGCAAGACACTGAGTTCTGTTTATTCTCCTAATACTCTGCCCCTGATTAGACTGAGGTATTGAGGGTAGGGCTCAAAGGTCAAGGGCCATTCTCATCGCAGCATATCAAGGGAGTGAACAGTCAGCATGACTCACCAAGGCTGATAGTGACCTTGAACACATGGCTGAGGTCCTGTTTGCCAGGCTTCTCCACAGCTGAGTGGCTTCCTGTTTCCTCCCTTTCTGTACTTTTGAGAGTGGTTCTGCCTAAGCTATGTTTAGGGGTGGATGGATGATATATTAGTCAGAGTTTGGATCTGACAGAATGAATAGATATATCAGCATATTAGTGAATACATATGTACATATATAATTTATGATAGGCTGTGGTCCAGCTAGTCCAAAAATGTCTGTCTCCCAGTGGAACATCCAAGAATCTAGTAGCTGTTTTGTCTATGAGGCTGGCTTGGTTGTTTCAGCTGGTCTTCAGTATGCTCCAGAATCTAAAAGGAGTAGGCCTCAATGCCAGTGAAGGAATGGACATGTCAGTGAGAGCGAGGGCAATCAGGCAAAGAGCAAATGCTTCCTTCTTCTGTGTCCTTTCCCACCAGAAGATGTGAATTAAAGGTGGATCTTTCCATGTCTAAGACGTGGATTAAAGATGGTTGTCCCTACACAAAATGATTCAATTAAGGAAAACCCATCACAGGTGTACTCAGCTGCTTGGGTTTTAGTTATTTCAGATGTAGTCAAGCTGACAATTAGGAGTAGCATCAAAGAGTGAGACCTCCTGTCTCTGGGGGTGCCAAAGCAGCATGAATTGCTGGAATTCTTCTGCAAGGCTACTTTTATTTATTCAGTCATTTCTGTGTACTGAAAACTGGATTTCATTGCCTTGGCCCCTGAGCACTGTCTTAAGGGCTGTATGTGTCCCTCTGACATGCTGGGCAGGGCAGCCATCTACTTGAGAACTTCCCTGCTTTCTGCTGCTGTGGAGTGCTCCAGGGTCATCTTTCATCTTGCTTGCTCTCTCCTAGAACTACTCACTTCTCCAAGGTGTCCTGCTTCCTTCGATTGAAGAATGGGATTAAAAGCCAGTTTGGACACTGGATATGTTCTGGACTCTTTGTTGTTTTTTTTTTTTTTTTTTTTTGGATACATATCTTACCCTGTAGTCCACGCTGGCCTTGAACCCATGGCTATCTTGTCTCAATCCCCAAGTTCTGGGATAACGGGTATTTTATATGTATACCATGCTCCCAAATATGTTTTGTGACGTTGTTTTCAGCCCTTTGGAAACACTGCCTTTCTGTTGTTTTGTCTTTCAGTAAGTCTGGAAAGGTAGGTGCAACGTCAACTCTTGCTCAGGTCGTAACTTATCTGGTAGCGTGGGCGAGGCTGTGGCTTTGCTCTCCGGCGCTGTATGAACTGGGCTGGTGCACATGTCTGGAATCCCAGCACTGCAGAGGTGGTGGGAAAGGTATCAGGTCAGGGTTTTCCTCCGCTCTCTGGCCAGCGTGGGCTGTTACAGGAGACCTGGTCTGGAAGCAAGAAAAACAAAAGTTGGATCTTGGGGGTTTCTCTTCTTAGGGAAGCTTATACCCGTGCTCTCTCTTAGCCCAAAAATATTTAAAAATATCATTTGATAAGAGCTCCAGCTCTTCTTTATAAAAACAAAACACAACCAACCAACCAAACAAACAAAAACAAAAAAGTAAGGACTCTTGAGTCGGATCTCCTGGCTTCATCTCCTAGCCACATCACAAGCATTTGGCCTGGAATGAACCCCTTGTTGCCTCTGCTTCCTCAAGTATGAAAGAGAAACTGATGGCATCTAGGGTCACTGCAAAAATGACCAGAGGTGAGACCTGGAAAGTATCTCCTGCTGTCTGGCACCTGTTCCGAGCTTGGATATGATGACAGAGGCAGTCATTATCTGGGGATGGAGGGAGGATAGGGAAAATGCAGTTGTCCTCCAGTACTCATGAGTGAGGGCTTCTAAGGTCCCCAGAGCTATCAGCATAGATGCTCAAGTTGCTTATGTACATGAAAGTGGCAGCATTTGCAAAGAGGTGACACACATCTTCCCTTTAAATCCCTCTGGATTTCTTGTACCACACAATCCAACATAAGGACCGTGCAAACAGGTGTCCCCATTAGGAGAAAGGACAGGGAAAGTCTCCGCCTGTGGTACTGGTGCGGCTTTGCCCCGAACCTGTGCAGGACAGATGCGGCTTTGCCCATGCACATGCGCAGTACAGGTGGAGGCAGACAATGGATTAAGAGTTAATGCTATCAAGATGCAGACCTTTCTGATATTTATTAAATCTTGTAAGAGTAGGGCATTGTGGCTGGGCGGTGGTGGTGCATACCTTTAGTTCCATTACTCGGGAGGCAGAGGCAGCCTGATCTCTATGAGTTTGAGGTCTACGGAGTGAGTTCCAGGACAGCCAGGGCTACACAGACAAACCCTGTCTCACCCCTACCCCCAAATGGGCCATTGTATAATTTTTATGGCTGCTTTAGATGAGACATGAAAATCTATTGGATCAACAAATGACTTGAATCCTCTTTTGGCTTTTCTCCGCAGTGGACTCATTGGTCGGAGCTGGGCTATGCTCTTTGCTAGTGGAGGCTTCAAGGTGAAGCTCTATGACATTGAGCAGCAGCAGATAATGAACGCCCTGGAAAACATCAGGTAGGCCTGGTTCGCACATCTGGAGGTAATCGGATAGCCCTGTTCCCCTCAGTCCCCTCACTCATCAGGCCCTCCAGGCTATGACTATCGGTAATTGCCTGTTTTCATGGGGCAGCTCTTGCAGTGACTCTGAAATGATGAAGGCCAGGTTTAAGTTTCGCTGGAGCAGAACATGAATCCAGACCGTGGATGGGGCTCCAATACAGTGGCTGGTGAGGGAGGAGTGGGAGAGCCAAATGTGAGTGTCAGCCTTCAATCCCTCGTGGTGCCTCAGCAGTTACACACATGTCCGTCAGGGTGACAGGGATGCTTTCAGCTCTAGCTTTAAGCTTTCAGAGGTGCTTTAGACTCAGCAAAATTGCGAGTTCTCATCTACCTCAAACTTACCAAAATTCAATGCTTGCTACCTTCGCCATTCCTCTCCCTTGGCAATCTGTTACAGTCGAGGAAACTGCCTCGATACGCCATCGTCACCCGGAGCTCTTGGTCGACATTCAGGTTCTCTCCTGGTGGTGTGTATTCTGTGGGCTACCCTCATGTGTTTCCATTGTTACCGGATCATACCGAACAGTCCCACTGCCTGAAAATGCTCTGTGCTCTGCCTTTTCGTACGTCCCTCCCCTTAGTCCTGACAACCACTGATATTTTTGCCATTTTCATAATTTGTCTTTTTCAAGAATGTTACATGGTTGGAGTCAGGTAGTTTGTAACTCTTTCCAGCTGGCCTCTTTTATTTAGCAGTGCACATTTAAGCTTCTTTCGTGTCTTAATGGCCGCTCACATTTTAGCACTGAAAAACAAACAGACCATTGCCCGGACTGTTCGTTCACTTTTTGAAGAGTGACTTGAAGAATGAATTATTTATTCATTCTTGGAAGCAAGTTTGGGAAGTTATGGAAAAAAGGCTATAAGTATTCATATGCAGATTAGCGTGGATATGTTTCAAACCCATTAAGTAAATACTGAAGATGACGACTTCCTAGATTAAATGGCAAAAACAGATTCAGTTCTAGAGGAGCCACTGTACTAACTTCCAATGTGGCTGTGCTGCTTTGCACGCCCAGCAGCAGGTGGGAGCCCCAGTGCTCTGTACCCCTGCCAGGATTGGGTGCATCCGGTGTTCTGGGTGTCAGTGACTCAGCGTGTGTCTAATGGTCTCACCTTGGTTCTGAACTGCTGATGGTGTATGACATCCGTTAAGTTTCTGAAAGCTTTTTTTTTTTTTTTTTGTTATCTGTATATCGCAGCCCTTTCTTCATTGCTAAGGATTGAACCTAGGGCCTTGTAAGTGTACGTATGCGCTCTACTTTTATGTAGACCCAATTTCTTCCCTTCCTTTCATTAAAAAACATGTTTTTGGTTAATGGGTGAACCTTAAAGCTTTTCATTTACTGCGACTCCCTGGCACATGATAATCATTCCTGCTCAGAATCCTGTGTAAAGATTTTGTAAAGAGACTCTTCAGAAATTCTGGTCCACCATATTTCTGGGAGTAGAAGTCTTCAGAGAATAATACATTACTAAAAGCACGTTGAGGATCTCTCACCAGAATCTACAGATGCCCAGGTCCCTAGGAATGTGGCGTAGCATCTGTATTGAACCCACTCATCCTCTGTAACCTCTCCATCACTTCCCGATAGCTCACGATTCCCAGTACGATGCAGATGCTATGGATATTGCTGTGCTCATTGTTTAGGGACGATGACGAGAAAACAGTCTGTGCATGTTCCGTATGATGAAAAATGTTTTTCTGATCATTTTCCAACTGTGGTTGGCTGAAGCTGAGGATGCAGAGCCTGCAGACGGGGGACCAGCAATACTTTGTCACCTTTTAGTCCCGTACTGAGTAAAGCTCATACATAGAGCTTTGCAGGGCTCAGTAGCCAAACACGCTAAGCTCTGTAGTCCATCCTGGTGCAATTACAGACACAAGTTATAGTGAAAAGCAGAGAAAGGAGGTTTCTTCAGTATGGCCACATGGGAAAAAATGGAGTCTAGTGACCCCCGAGTGTGTCTTTGGGGAGTCTAACAAAAGGCTTAAGTTTAAACAGAGGGAAAGTGTTCCACATAACTGAGCAGTCCTGGTCAAGGTGTGGTCCTCTCCATCACTGAGCCTTTATTGTTTAGCTCCTGGTCCTGCAAGATGGCCTGATGGGCTAGCAGAATCATGACATCACTTCTGGGAACCAAGTTTTTCCCTGGGCTGCTGCCTTTCCTTCCCTCAGTGTGAGTTTCCTGGAGAAATTTCAGTTCTTTAGAGATCCATCGTCACAGTAGTCTGATTGCTGAGGAACTCGTGTCTGTCCTGTAGTATCTCCTCCCCTGATGGGTAGTTACATGCCTGGGCACTGTAGGGTGGTGACAGCTTTTCAGCAGGCCTAGACATGTCACTGGGTTTCTAGTGATTGTGTTTGTGGTTGGCGGGCCCCTGGAGCTGAGCGGCATTAGCTTCAGAACTGTCCTTATGTTGTTGGTGGCTGCCAGTCACCTAAAACTGCCAGAAGCTAATGCCTAGGGAGCGCCGCTGTAAAAATGATGGCTTAGCGTCATCTGTGGATCTTAGCGTTTACACGAGCAATGCCCTAGGCTGCAGGCACCATAGGTTCAATCTGTGCGTTTTGTCTTCAGTGAGCCTCATGTATCAGTGTCACACGACCTCTGTTAGCCACTACGGATGGCGTTTCTTGTCCCAGAGCCTAGAGCAAAACAGGCTGTAGGTGTTAGAGTGTTTTCGTAGGTCCTTATCCTAAGCTCTAGATGGCCTAGAGCTCACCTAGCAGCCTAGGCTTGCCTCAGACACGGGGCAGTTCTCCTCCTCAGATCCTCCTGCCCTCACTACAGACATAAGACAAGATGGCCAACCTCTTAGGTGCTCAAAAGAGAACTCTCCTGGTGGTGCTTCTTTTCTTTCTTGATTTTTTCGTTCTGATAATATTTTTTACAGAACCCCCTCCCTCCCTTGTGATTTGGCTGACTCCCCACATTCTGATTCTTTGTTTTTTGAGACAGGCTCTCTTGTAGTCCAGGCTGGCCTTGGATTCTTTGTATAGCCACGGGTGGTCTTGAACTTCTGGTTTTCCAGCCCCCACCCTGAATGCTGGGGTTGTAAGAGTGTCTCACTGGGGCTGGCTTTATTCTCTCTCTTTCTTTTTTCTGAAAAATTTACAGCAGGGGCTTTTGAGCTGCTCCTGGTGAGCTGGCTTGGTGGTTAAGAGCACTTGCTGCCCTTGAAGAACACCTGTGCTCAGAGCGCCTGCCTCAGGCCACCAGCAACTACAGGTAATGCTAGCTCCAGAGCACTCAACTTCTCCTCTGGCCTCTCCAGGAACCAGCACTCATAACACACATACACGCAAGCACACACCACATACATGTACACATCTGTTTTAGGCGGTCTTAGAAAAATCCCATGTATGTTTGAGTGACCGTAGGGCAATGCCACTGAGCTACATGTCCCCATGTATTTTTGGAGGTGGTATCTGTTTATGTGTCTCAGCCTGGTCTTAAACTTGGTATGTAGCCCGGGATGCCCGGGAATTTACAGTCTTCCGGCCTCTTCCTACGACGTCCTGGGATTGCAGGTATATACTGTCACTCTTGGTAGCTAATTTTAAATACTAGAGATCGTACACACTGATCTGGAAAGTGTAAAAACAAATTCATAAAAGGAGACACCGACATAGATATGTATACATACCCTCGAAGCCAGGCATAGTGGCTCACATCTGTAATCCCAGAATTTTGGATCTGAGGCAGGAGATTAATGCAAGTTCCAGGTTACACGGCCACAGAGGGAGAGAGACCCTGCCTCAAAAGAAGAAAACAACAAGGCGTTAAAGATGTGATTATCATAACTCCTACCCTGTGTCAGGAGATCTTCGTGCAGGCGAAAAAAATGTCATCCAAGAGTAATGTTTTCCTAGCCCATGGCATCGTGAGAAACTTGTTCCTGGCTGAGGCAGCATCTAGCGGGGAGGGGCTTTGCCCATGTCTCCTCCCTTCCTCTTTGTTCTGCCCTGGGCTCTGCAGGCCTTGGGTCTCAAAGCCCATCAGAGCGACAGGAGCACTTTTAAGAAGACAAACTGAAACCCAGTAAGCAAAGTGCCAACGTGCCTGTAGATCTGAGTGCGTTATGTCTTAGGACTTGTAGCTTGTTGCCTTCCTGCATGCCCTCCAGACACTGGCACACCCCGGTGCAGGCCATGGGGTCATCTTTTGACTGCTTTCCCCCACTCAGGTGTGAACACACTGTGTTGTGTGGCTCAAGCCCTGGTCTGTGATCACTGTCTTTGGGTGACATCTCTGTTTGACATCACTTGCCTTTCTTGACTCTCTGTGGTCATAGGGACTCATCTCTCTCTCTGCAAAAGTATCACCTTTTTATACAGTTCAGGAGTTAACAAACCACTGGAAACATCTCTGAGAGAAGGCAGTTGCCCTGTCCCCTGGCTCCTAGACAGGGGACACGCTCCTGGCCTGCAGGCGACCTGCTCTCTGGTTTTCAGTTGGTCAGTCCCCTTTCTGCCCCGGCCTAAATGTCATCTTAGATTCCGACTCCACGTGGAATCCTTGGGATTTGTCTGTTCTCCTGCTTGGGAACTTCCTTTCAGTTTCTCCACGCACCTTAGGCCACACAGCTGGAATAGTGGGTGAGTGTGGGGGTGCATGCCTGTGACCCCAGCACTGGGAGGGGGGGCAGAGGGATTGGCAGTGTGAGGTCATGAGACACAGACACGAGGCAAAATAAAACAGCAGCAGCAGCAGCAGCAGCAGCAGCAGCAAACCACTCACTGAGCAGTAGACCACAGTTGGCCACAAGTTATTCCCATCTGTCAACACCGCCCACTCCATTTTCGTTGCTTTGCAGTCCTGGGGATTGAACCTGGGCCTCAAGCAGGCGGGGCAAACACTCCGGGCTGGCCCCTCTGCAGGGTGCCTTTTGTTTTGTTTTGAAGCAGAGTCTCACTGTGTGGTCCAGGCTGGCCTCGGCCTCCCCACCC